AATTTTCAAAATCAAATTTTATTGTCTGTCTGTTCTTGTTGTTAAAATTTGTTATTGTTGTTAAAATTAAATTGGTTAAAGTTGTGTAATTAAAAGTAAGCATTCCTCGAGAGATCGACAATTCGGACTCAAAAAGTCTATTTTATTACTTGAACGTGATCATTGCACTTGCGGTATAATAATTTAGCGAACACCCATTCTAATAAGTAATCAAGGCAAAACAAGTTCATAACTTATCCCTTTACCCAATATGCTCTTGGGTCATCAGGCAAAATTGTAAGACAATATTAGACATTTGTGTAAAATAGTATATGTTAACTAAGAACGACTAATTGTCGATGTCCCGCAACCAAGATTGTACCTAGAGTCCAAAAAAAAAATTTACTTGATCACAATAATACACCCTAGATCTGCATATTTCTTCTTCTTCTTTAGCTCCCAACGGCACAGTAGGTAGCTTTGCTAAGTCTCATCCAACAGCTTTCACCCTTCTCAGCAAGTTACGATTATATATGTATGATTCGCAACACAACCTAACTTCAAAATTCTGTGAATTTTTGAAGCGAATGTGTTTGGATCATCAAGACTGAACCCAGAAGTCAACTATATAGTCACGTAGAGTATCAGCACCAAGTTCTTCACCGACTTGTCATTTTTGTCAACCTAGGCCCTCTCATGAAGATCTTCCATGATACTATTGTCTTGATTAATCTCCATAATCTTTTTGAGTGTGAATAATGTTATTTATCATTATAATAATAGAATATCGGTGATGTGGCAATTAATGTAGAATAATGATATTTGACCGTTCAATTTTTATGAGAGAGGGAAATAGAAATATGAGAAATAATGGATTTTTCATATCTGCGATATTCCATTATCATGATGATAAATAGCGTTACTCTTTGGATGGAGGCAAAGATGGTGGAAAAATTGTTTGGGATAGTTTAGTTTAGGGCTTTATCAAAGTATTAAATATGATCTCGAAAAGTTTTAATCTCTTTTAGGGAAAAGTACCGACTTCCAATAGCCCGTCTCTGATTGCCAACTGCGACTTAGGTCAACTAACACCAAGAAGATACAGTTTACTCAACAATTGCCTTTGGGTTCCGAACCGAAAGAATAAAATGTAAAAAGTCTTCATGTTAAAGTCATCTAGAAAGCAAGCTCTTGGCCTTCTGCCTCTACTTTCTTTTTTATTCTTTTTTATTTCATTCCACTATAACTGCCATCGACCTAACAAAATCACTAATAAACCTAATCTAATATACTAATCTAATAAAATAGAAAAAAATTATCTTTTCTGTATACTTTTCCCGGTTCCGTGCCATAAAGAAAAAGGATGACTCCTTGATGCCCCAAGCCCGGCTACAAGATCCAAGGGTATAGATCTAAATTATTGTTGTTGTTATTATTATTTTAGTAATAGGCCTAATTTCCTCTACTAAATATGGACTGGAATCCATTTAAGACTCGGGCCCAATCTATGTTAATCCATCCGATACAGCCCATCATACTGCAATCTCAAATTTCTAAGCGGAGTCAAGTCAATCTTCTACATACGACACCGTATCCATGTTCCGCCTAACCCCAGAATATACTGGGAATGAAATTCCTAAAACCTCAAGGCTGTAAAAAACCCTAGCTGAAAACCTGCACATATACATATATCTTTATAAAGAGTAATTGAAAATCGAAGCTTTATTATAACAAAAATGTCTGGCGGGAGATTCCGGGAGCTATTAAGAAAGTACGGGAAGGTGGCATTAGGCGTGCATTTTTCAGTCTCCGCCGCTTCAATCACCGGCCTTTACATCGCCATCAATAACAACGTAGACGTGGAATCAATTTTTGAAAAACTCGGCATGCCCAGCCTCGGCAAGGAGCCGAAAGAAGATGAAAATCCTAAACAGCCCTCATTGAACACCGAAATTACAACTGTTGATACTGATGCCTCCTCCGACGGGTTCATAATGGAACTACCGGTAAAGAATGATGTGAAAAAGGAGAGAAATCGGACTACTGAGCTGGTGGCTTCAAGCGGTGGGGCTTTGGCGCTTGCGGTTTTGCTGAATAAGGCTCTGTTTCCGGTTCGGGTTCCGATTACTTTTGCACTTACGCCTCCTGTTGCGAGGTTTCTTGCCCGCAGGAATATTATCAAGAACAATGTATGATCTCCCTTTTATTGTATTTTAGCTATCTGTTACCACGTTGTTTTCTGGTATGTGGGTTGGAATAAATGCAGAGAAACATACATTGGGCCCGTGAATTATGTTTTATTGTTTAATTTATTCACACGATTTTGATTCTACAATTTTGGTGGCTCAACTAAGTGAATATTTGGTTGTGCTTAAAAGTGGCAGTACCAAAAAAAGCTTAGAAAGCTGCAGTTAAGCACTACCGAATATCCCGTAATCGGATTTCGTCCATGGAAATTTGTAATGCTATGTTCATGCCAGAGCCAAACTACAAGTTTTTCAGCAGTGTGCAGTGTCATTATTTCATGTTAATGCAAGAATTTTATGTTTGGAAATCTGTGAAATGAATCTTTTGGTGTTGCAATTTAAGCTGAACTGTAGAAGTTGGAAAGCAGGGAAAACTGAAAGGTTTTGCGTAGCATAACGTGGCAAATCTTAAGTGTTTAAGCTTGAATTCCTATAATTCTTTGTTATTGAGCGGGTAAAAAATCTTCTGCTCCATTAGATTAGGGGATAAATTTTGTTTTTAACGTTGAAGAAAAAAAAAGAATGAGGTGCAGATGGATGTTCGTGTGTTAAGAATGAGGTGCGAATTGTTTGTTGGAGTTCCATTGTGGTTTAATATTAGTCAATGATGTTTTCTGGCATGATGGTTTTGAGCAGTGCTAAATATTTGTGCAACCACATTGGCTAGAAGTAGAAATCACCCTTAAAACCGAATTTTAGGATAGGAGTCCAAGTTGTTCTAAGCTCACAAGCTTAACTTAGCGATGGGACACAATTACAGTCATTATATTATATCCCTCCTTTATGAACCGAATTCTATGGCAGTCCACATTTCCAGGTAGGTGACTTTGAGGAACCAGTCTTTTATTGGTAGTAGACCTTCCAAAGTCACCCATCCGAAACGAGGGTCATCACACAATACAAATTGTTGCAACTACATTGGGTAGAAGTCATCTTTAAAACCATCTCGTAAAGGGAGGGTGCCTAAGTGATTATAAGCCAACAAGCCTAAACTTAACTTAGCGATATGGTACAATCATTACAATATTTATGAGTTTGTGGACTTCCCATCTTCAAGAGCTTAGATTTTTTTTTTTTCTTTGGGAGTCTTATCAAATCCTAAGAAAAGAATTGATGACATTGTTTGTTCAGTTGGACTGGAAGAAAAAAATGCTAAGTAGAATATTTTGCTTCAACTTCTCTTGTTAGTTACTTAACTAACGGACTTGACATGTTGTATTACCTCCAATATAATTTATCGGTTATGAGCTAGACAATAGCAACATAAACAATCATTTATATTGGTGATAGTACAACAGGTTAAGTCTGTTAGTTAAGAATGAGCTCGAAAAGTTGATGCAAGATATTCTAGAACTTAACTGTTAGTGGAAAACTTTCATTTGACCTCGACTGAGACAAGCCTTTATCTATTTATTTTTATGGTGGGGTTTGGTACTTTGGTTAATAGAGGAAGTGGCCTTCTTATGCCTTAAATCGACAATTAAACTGTGCTTTTGTCTATGACTGGAATCCAGTGCTGGAGGCATCAAAGTGCAATCCAATCCAATCCTATGGTAGGCTATGAAATTATAATCTTTGATTTTGTTGTATCATCTATGTCTGGTTTTTGGTGTAAATAGAATGGTTTTCTAGGATAGTTTTATCTTTATTCCTTGTCCATATTGTGGGGTAAAATATCAAGTGTCACTGGACTTAAATTTTACGAATAGTTACTGTATTTTAAAAGTTTTTTCCTTGTTAATATCGTTGCTCATCCGTGCCTCTGGATTGTTTAAAAAGTTGGAAAAATAAATAAAATTGCAATGTCATTGAAATGCTTGATTTTTCCAATAGAAGGAGATAGAGTGATCGATGGGAAATAACATTGAAAATATTGGCTATTTGGGAAAAAAATTTAAATTAAATAGATTTTCTATTTTGCTATCGCCTCCCTCATAATAGGGGATCCACGATTTTTTTATTGTGAGGGAGCTAACACCTCGATGTACAAATAACAAAACTCAATAATAAAGTGCAATGGCCATTGGGATTTTCAACTCCCATATTGTTTTCTATCAAGAATTAGGTTTTAATTGGTCATCTCTGAATAATTCTCAAGAAAAATGGAAGTTTCAAGGATAAAGTCACATGTACATCACATTTCTACGTCATGCTTGACATCATTCTTGTTGGCAAGATTTGATTGGTGAAAAAATTATAATTTTTTGAATTGTCTAATGATGTGTTATCACGTGGCACAATATAAAAAATGATGTATATCTAATGTGATTGAAGTTTTTAATGCTTTTAGTTTCTCGTGTATGATTACCAATTGTATAGGGTCAGCATTAGAAAATATGTTGTGCTTCAGGTATACAATGGTTTGCATATACATGATATGAGATATGATTGGATTATAATTTCTCCAATAAAAAAAAAATATCAATTTATATTACAAAATAAACTGCAAATTTCTTCTCATAAATGGCTTGTTTGTCTATATACAATAAAAAAGAATGGTGTGCAGTCACAAGGTTTTGACAAAAGGCAAATTTGTTCATTCATCAATAATGAGCGTATTATAAGAATATTGAGACTTGCTTTTTTAATATCCAAAATTCCAAGGGTTAATTTCACAAATGATCACTGAACTTACCTAAAAATTAAAAAATGATCACCGAAGTTTTAATTTGTTTCACAAACGGTCACTGAAGGATTATTATGATTTTAATTCAAATTTAAAGGACAAAAACACGTGGATATAGAAGTTTGACTACCTCAAGTGCAAATTTCTTGTTATTAAGTGCCACCTTTGGAGTTTCGAATCACCACCTTCCGGCCACAAAGACCATCAGATCCGACCACCACCAATCTTGTCTCACTCTCCTCTACAACCTCCAAGCAAGCGTCAACCATAAAACATTAGGAATTAATAGAAAATCGACCCTAAAAACCGCATCTCGCGAACTCCTTTTCTGTCGGAAAACCCACCTCGGCGACGCCCATGTTATTTGGTGATTAATTGGTGCAATTGATTCATGACCCAGTGTATTACCCACTTGAATTGAATGTATTAAGGCGAATTTGATGATTGGGGTAGTGTAGAAACCTCAATCGATGGAGGACAAAATGGATTGCCTTGCGTCCAGCCTGTCCGTCCACACTGAGCCCAAATTGCCAATGACTCGTGGTTGGAGTAGATGCGCCATGAAGGGAAGATGCTAGAATAGGTGGTCCGCGATCGTGGGGACCATCGTTGTCGTCGAAAAATGTGATTGTTGGACGCGAGTTCGCTGATTTAAAATTTTGCTGTAGATTTAGATTTTTTGTGTTATTTGATGTAATAGGACCATGTATGGATGCGCCATGTTGAGCTTGAGCGACCTGTGGGGTGTTATTAACATGGGCGTCGTCGGAGGTGGGATTTCCGGCAGAAAAGGAGTTCACGAGATGGGTTTTTGAGCTCGATTTTCTGTTGATTCCTTATGTTTTGTGGCTGACGGTTGATTGGAGGTTGTAAAGGAGAGTGAGGTGAGATTGGTGGTGGTTGGATCCAGTGGTTGTGGTGGCTGGAAGGTGGTGATTCGAGGCTCCAAAGGTGTGCTTAATAGTTAGAAATTTGCACTTGAAGTGATCATGATTCTATGTCCACGTGTTTTGGTCTTTTAAGTTTGAATTAAATTCATAACGGTCCTTCAGTGACCGTTTGTGAAACAAATTAAAACTTTAGTGACCTTTTGTGAAAACATATGAAATTTCAGTGACCATTTCTTCAAGTTTTAACCTTCAATGACCGTTTTGTAATTTTTAAATAAGCTCAGTGGCCATTATGAAATTAACCCAAAATTCCAAACATACAACTAAACAAACTATAAAGAAGTGTGTGCGCGGGTATTTCTAATCTCCTTCAACTCGTGTTTTAGTTGTAAAATTAATTTCAGTTCGATTAAATTTGGATATAAACATTTTGCACTTTTGAAATTGTAAATTACAAGATAAAATCTACAATCATAAGATTAGATCCTGTATAACTCTCCTTATTTCAAAATTCATTTTTTCTCAAACTAATTTTCAATTTTACATTCTCTTTTGTACATAAACTCCAAATTTTTTCCTACTTTTTTCCTACACATTCTCCAGAAATTTACCATTTCAAAACTCATTTTCATGAATAATGGACATCAAACAAAGGTTAAATAGCACGCAAATTGTGCCTGTAAAATTTAAATTGCAAAACAAAAAAATTAATGGGACAAGTGTAGTATTGACATGAAAAGGCGTGCAAATTCTATATAAAATTTGATGTTACAAAAGGAAAATCACTGTAAAGAACCAGATTCAACACCCCACCCAAAAATACAATAATACTTCAATTATTTGAAGCTTATCAACTTGCATTTTCATGAACGCCAGCTGAGAAATAATGCACATTTTAAAGCCATTTTCTACCTATACGAATAAATAAAGGAACAATTAGTTGCTCTTCAAATCTTATACAGCATAACATTTCCTACAGAATACAACAAAAAGAATTTCAACAATGGATCCTGAACCAAAAAAATGTTCTCGACAGAAAGTATCGACTGTTCATTTTAGAGCGATGTAAACAAAAAAAAAAAAAAAAGCTAACTGTCCAACGACTTAGTAGCAAAATTCACAAGCTGCTGCTCATTTTTCAATTTGTTAGTGCAGGGAATTTTACAAAGTATTCGGATATAATTTCAAAAAATGGAACAGTGTCTACTGTCCCATTGTGAAGTATTCATTTTAGAAGCATCTCAAGCCCTCACATTGTGAGTATCCAAAATTTACAGAAACCCATGATTGGAAAGGCTGACCTCTTTGGGGCTGATTAAGAAGCACAAATGGTCCTTTAAGACCACTGCTACAACTTTTGCAAGTGCTTGAATTCCTGACAGTCCACTCCAACTTCATTTAAGGCTAACAAAAGTTTAGGCACAATTTTATCG